AAATAGTATAATTTTTTATGGGATTAATTTTTTTTAAATATAGAATTGTATCATTTTAATTAAAACTGCTATATTTTATAATGAGAGAAATGAGAATCATGTTAGGAGAAAGTTGAAATTTTTTAATTTAATTATTAATTTTAACTAAATGATTGTCCTTTAAAAAGATAAATATTTTTCTTTTTAAAAAAATTATTTTAATGAAACCTAAATAATATATATATCACATTTACATGATTATTAGTTCACATTGGCATATTAAGCAACCAGATGGAGTCAAACTGAATTAAGCAGTCCATTGAATTCACTAAGGCTAAAGTCTCTTTTGGTTTATGGTGCTTATTTTCGTCTCTTAAAAAAAATTCAATTTTTTGTTTTTTTACAATTTTAATTTTTTGAAAATATGATTCCTCAGAAATTTAATGAAAATTCAATTTTATTCTTAAAAAAGGATTAATATAAATATTTTTTTTATAAGGAACAAAAATAAAAATCATATTTTTTGTTAGGGACACAAAAGATACTTAACTTATTCATTAACAAATAATGGCTAAAAAACTACAAATGGTTTTTATTTTATTTTTAAAAAATAGGATAATGTATTCTGTACGTCAAATGTATATATTTCTCCAAATGGTATCTGTATCTATCTGTCTCTTTCTTTCTTACAGCGTAATGCACTGACCAGTTTTACTTTCGGATCGGAAACATCTCGAAGAATGACACTCCCAGTAATATAGGACAATTTTTTATAAGTACGTGTCTCCATCATAGTTGTCATGCCGGCTTGGTTCATATCCTTCTGTCTTACAATAATTTGACTAATCAAAGTTTTACCTCATTCAATATTTTGAATACTACCGAATGATGAGTACGATTCTTATTTAAAATAAAATTATTAATTATATATTTTTAAAAATTTATAAATATAATATTTATTTATTTTCTTCAAAAAAAATATACCAATACAAATATTATATTCCTATTAATAGGATGTAAGTATTACGGTAATATATAATATTTTTTTCCATCAAAAGATATTTGAGTTAAGGATGAACGTGATGGTAAGTATTATCAATTATAAGTTTTGTCATAAATATTTAAAGTCTGTTAAATACAATTAATAAATGTTGTCTAATACAAAAATTAAATATTTAATAACTCATTCAAAAAATCGATAGTCAATGAAGAATAGCAGATTAAATATTACATGGTTTAGTGACTATTTGTACGATAACGTCTACAATTACAACTTAATTATATATTTTAAGACAAAAATGTTGCCAAAAAACTGATTTTCTTCTTCTTATTTTTTTAATGATTGCGGGACATTACTATATATGGTAATCATATGAGTATAACATACCCGTAATAAATGTTGTGATAGTATGTTCCTAGCAATATTATATTATTTATGAGTAGCTTAAATAGCTAATTAAAATTCTATCCAAAAAAAATAGCTAATTAAAATGGGTAAGAATTTAGTTAAATTATAAATTTAGATATATCATAAAGAAATACACTCTCTCAAGTCTCAAAAGCAAGGAAGGATCTACAGCTGCCCCACTACGATTATTATGATTTTCTTAGTCAAATAATTAGTGTCATGTTCTCATCTGAAAAATTGGGATTGTGAGGGCCATGGGCGGCATCAACTTGAAGCTTCACATGCGGCTGATCAAGAATAGAACTCAACTTGAAGTCTCTGACAACTTTAAGTGGGAGTCGTGTGCATGAAAAAGAGACACCTAAGTCAGCCATTAGAACCGAAGAAAAGATTTGCTTTGGGAAGCCACGTAAATGGTTTTGTTATAACAATAAAAGAAAAAGAAAAGTATGAAAAAGTGATGCAAGCATCTTAATAAATTTGCAATGCTCTTGTTAATTATCTGATCAATTCAAACGGGAAAACTTCACATATAAAAATCAATCAAGCCATCCTAACATATATAATGAAGCCGTTTAATTTGAAAAGCTACCATTTATACATTGAATGTTCAACAAATTAAAGCATATCTATATGTTTCTTCTAGAAATACTAGAAAAGCAAATTATATATAATGGTATTTGGTAATCAAGAAAAGTCAGTATTGTGGAAAAAAATTACTCCTATAGCGATTCTTCTCATATCAGAACCTCCAATAAATTTATCCATGCCAGCTGGTTCACTTGTTAAGCGAAAACTTCAAAAAAATTGTTTAATCAGTTTTGAAGAGTCGTTGCATTGCGTTCGCATTGAAGGGCTGGGTTCCTAGATATAAAAATCTATATAATCCACTGAATCACCATCATAAAAGTTGAAGCACGTGTAAACACTAATGCTATATCAGTGAAATTACAAAACTGAAGATTCGATACTTAAGTTGAATGTTACTTGCAATATATATAATATAGATTCAGAATATCAGTACACATTTAACTCATGTGAAAGTAACATCTAAAACCAATTGTTAGATATCTATGTTGTCAATTGGCAATTACGACGAACAATATCCTATCCAATCCATGTTTGAAAAATACCAAAATAAAATCATTATATGTAACTTGATTAGATGGTTAGTTTAAAAAGGTAATCATTTTTTAAAACAACTAAATTTAAAAGAGGTAGGATCATTTGACACCGGTGTCAAATTTGAAGTTTGACACCTCATCTGAGAGTCGTTAGATCAAAAAAGATCAATGGTGTCACATGCTCACAAATCAGAGTCGTTGATCTTTTTTAATCTAATGGCTTTCAGATGAGGTGTCAAACTTCAAATTTGACACCGGTGTCAAAGGATCCTGCCTCAATTTAAAATATTATTTATATACTTGCACAGTTTAGGGATCACAGACCAAGCAATATTTACGTTATCCATTCGACTTGGTGAATACTTTAACTTATTTATATTTACATTCGCTTAAAAATAATGAACCCATAATTACCGAGTCTTTTCTTAATGGAAGAAAGATGGGCTATATCTAGTTTATTAGATTAGAAGTTAGACAATCAACCAAAATTATAGAATCTAAGAAAAAGTAAAAAAAAAAAAGGCTTTTATAATATAAATATTTTAAAAAAAAATATCGAGTTATTTTTTCTAATTTTTGACAAAATAATATTTTTTATTTTTGTAAATATTTAATTATCATGAAAGTTCTAAACAAAAAAATAAAATAAAAAGGCAGAAAATAACTTTATAAACAATCTTGCAGTTGTGTAAAATAATCAGTCAACCCTCAATTAAGGGGGATATGTATTCAGCAAAGGCTGGCTAGTGGCTAGTCAAACAATGCATCTTGATGGATATGCTCTTCCACGGTTCTACGTTTCTACGCTCCCACGCAAGCGTGGCCCCTTCTGTTGATTGTCACAGATTCAAATTCAACCCATATAAATTCTTAATTGTTTTCGCAAGAAATGGATAAGTACAACAGGAACTAGTTGGCATGTGTGGACAGACTATAGAAATGGTTTTTATTTCAGCAGTGTCACATACTGAAAAGTTCAGTAAGATTTTAATCACAGAAGTCTTTATACTTTTAATATAAAATTAATCTTTCCCAGCGTATACAATGGGATGAACGAAATTTAACAATAAAAAAATTGTAGCACAGAATAAAATAATACTCATTCATCTTAAAATGAATAAATGTGACCGTCCATTGTTATAAGGTGGCCTCATTCAAATCAGCACGAAAAATAGGAATTAATACTTGAAGAAGAGAGGTTAACTAGTGAACTCCATTTTCACGGTCCAATTGGCTGATGATCAGTCAGCGCAATTATTGGATTACACATTGGTTTGTTGATTATTTAAACTCAACTAGTCAACTTCCCAACGTATATATTGGACTATCCAAATGGGATCGATTACCCATTTCTTACTTATTAGTTCACTCCTGTATTTGTAAAAATCTGAGATTTTATGTAAAAATGTAAATCTTATAAATAACACGAAATATAAAAAATTTATTACTTAAATTCAAGATATATACGAATTTATATATAACCCCACATAAGTTACTGTTCAAAATTCAATAAATAATTTTTTATTTAAAATATACAAGTCATACAACTATATAAGACATAAGTCCAAAAACACAAAAAGAGTTTAACAACTCCTACAACCAAGTTTCAAAACATCAAAAAAATAAAGTTTAACAACTCATAAATTATATCAATTGATTCAAATCAAATACATCATCTTGCATCAGTTGCATGTCGTTAATGTCCTTTTCTCTTTTTCCTACAACAAGTTCATTTGCAATAAAACGTAATAGATTGATTCAAAATCCACCTTACATTGGTAGTCAAACTTTTCACTAGTGGCTTCACCTTCTTCTTTCTTTGAAACAATGACCTCGCACGAGGATTTATTTTATTTTATTTTATTTTTTAGATAGTTAGAAGAAGATACTATGTATTTTGATTTTGGGAAAATAGAAATAGATTTTTTTCTATAAAAAATAAAACTGGGTCATGCGTTAAAAGTTGACCCGGTTCATTTTTTTAGTTGGTTCAATTTCTTGGTTTAAGTAAAACTAGAAACTCATGTTTCTACCATTTTTAGTTGCATTTTAACATGTATCATTTCAGTAAAAACATAAAAATATAAATTTTTATATTTTTACACTAATTTTTAACAACAACAAGTCACTCCTCCCATTTGAATAGTGATATTAATAAGGAAAATACTACTCTTATGTTACATGTGATAAATTTCTCTCTTACACACCCTTCGACAACCGTGCCACCTTTTTTCTTTTCTTTTCTTTTCATTTTTCAGGTGATGGAACCTACAAGTTGAAATAACTTATCCCCTTTACTAAGAGATTAATAAAACCCTTAAAAAATTATACATCCAACCTCTTACAATCATCTCCATTATCATCATATCAAAATTTACAAATCCTTTTCATTATTACCACATCAAAATTAAATCAATAATAATAAATTAATATCAAATACCCAGCCTTGATTTTTTTTTTTCAAAAATGCTACTCGATCAAAAAACGTTGATGAATTACACTTCCAAGCGTTTAGAATGTCGATTTTACCTACTCCACAGATCTCAATTAGAAAATGCAACTTACGCCCGAGTTATTCTCAGGTGAACACAGACAAACCCTCGTCTGCCTGTATTTCTGAAATCAAATTTGACAAAGAAAAGTTCAAGTAAACTCGAGCAAGCAACATAAGTTGCCAAATCCGCAATTGTACACGGTTTGAGCTGAGGTAGTTCAAACAGTAACCACCACGAATTTTGAAATGATGCAGAACAAATGCAAACCATGCTTGCTTGCATTTGAAAGGAAAGATAAGTCTCAGCGTCAAGCAAACAAGGAAGATCAACTCAACCGGGGGCACCATCTAAATAAAGAAACAAACCATCAAATCCATAATCTACGAAACTAGAATCTAGCAGTTGTCCGATACTTGGAAATCCTACGTAAGAAGAACAAGGTCCCTAAGCACTTGGAATTCCCATAAAAACACCAACAGTGGAAATCAGTAGCGGTCAAAAGATGATGGACGACCACCCCTGCTTGGACGGTCATATGGACCGGACCTACCCCTATAGCTCCTTCCTTCATCTCGAGCTGCCATTCCACTTCCATACCTATCGCCACCTCGTGCACCACCATAACGGTCATAGCCTCTTTCCTTGCCATAACCATTTTGAGGGTAATGATCTGAGCCACCTCCATATCGATCTCCGCTAGTTGGATACCTACACAATTTTCAGTAAGGGAATAAAGAAAGTAACAAATACATAGAACTCATTGGATAATTAATAAAGAAAGTAACAAATACATAGACCTCATTGGATAATCAATGGAGAGCTTACTGCTCCATTTTATTCACGAAATATAAACTACTGAAACGCAAACCAGACCAGTGACCCAATCAAATCTTTAAGCAATCACAGCCTTTGGAAATGCCATATTATCAATCAAAAGACGAAATAACAGAGAAAAATAAAAATTGTTGAACGGCAATCATTCAGTTTTAATCAAGACTATAGCAAAAGCACCAGAGCAGTAATTTGATAATAACAACCATAAACCTTGAATACCTGTCACTAGTATAGCGATCACGGCCGCTGTATTTGTAGTCCCGACTGTCAAGACGATCCCTATCTCCATAACGTCCTCCGTCATAACGATCATCAATGTATCGATCGCGTTCACCGCTAAGGCGATCCCCATGTCCACCAGCACCACCAAACCTAGGACGTGAAGAAAATGAACTACCACCCCGACCACGACCACCTCCACCTCCTGCCAAAGGACAATCTCGGGCCCAGTGCCCCGGACGCCCACATTTGAAGCAGTCATCCTGTCCTATCCTCTCTCCAACCCCATAGCTTCCCCTACCACCTGATGAGTAGCCACCCCTGTAACCATGGTCTACATCATCACCCCCCATCTTGGGCTGTGCCTTATTGACTGAGATGATGCGATCACCAATTTCCCGTCCATGCATTTCCTTGATTGCATCCTCCATTCCCCTACGGTCTGCAAACGTAATAAACCCAAATCCACGTGGACGGCCTGTATCTTTTTCCATCATGATCTACAAGAAGAACCACTTGAGAACATCATGCCAAGTAATAGCAATAAGGACACTAATGCTAACAATATTTAATGGCATCTATGGAGACAAAACAATACCATTGCTATTTTTAATGCAAATGACCACTGCATAGCCGTTATTGTAAGACTGGCAAAAAAGATATTGAGCACAACATACAGAACACTGGAACATGTTTAATAGGGATTGACAGTTATCTAGCCAGTACAAGTAAATAAGAAACACCAAGTTACTGGAAGAAAGCGCAGCATGTATGAAGCTACTCATTAAAACTAGAATATTTAAAAAACCAGTAAAATAGAACTGCATCATACAAACAAGATGAGGAAACAAAGGTGAAAAAACATAAAAGACAAATAAGTAAAAGGTAGGTCAAAGTAACTCATGTTATAAGTTGTATCCTGTCCATCATATTGTATACTCCACCAACTCGCCCCAAGAAAAAAAAAAAAAAACCCAAACAAAAGAAAGCTCTCTTTATTGGTGACCTGAAAGAGACTGTTGTAGCTAACGATTGCCAGTTAACAATGACAAAAGAAGCATCAAGTATGTAAGATTTCAATTACAAAAGCTGGAGCCTAGTCGATCGCAATATTTATCCACCAATTTATAAGAAACATTCAAGAGCATCATCCACTAATGTCGCCTGATATATGTTCTCTTTTAATAATGTGAGTTTCTACCATGACTCTATCTCTGAAAATAAATCTCAGACATTAACAGGGTTGATCTCAATTCAACAAGGCTTGATTAGCCACTAAACAACCCCTCACCCACCACCCCAACAAAAAAAGATAGAAACACAAGAAAGAAGTCACTCAATTGCAGCATAATCTACTACTCAAAATTGCTGGCAGTCATTAAAATGATGCTTACATAAACAATCTTCTAAAATATTTGAACTGCACATTCAGTTTAGAACAAAGTATTACGCTTGCATAAATGGAAAATATGACTGAAGAAGGTTATGCATTGCATAAAAATTTTCAGTATTTTGTTTACATGAAACATGCAAACAGCATTAAACTAAAAAGCAAACTTATATAAGTTATAACCAGACAACTTACTTTCTTTGTTACAATGATAATGCACCAGAATGGTTTTCATATAGCTAAGCCATTCAGAGGAATCCAAAGCCCATATTTCACAACAAATACATCTTACAACAATTACTTCCAAAATCAGAGCTAGAATTTCAGCATTTTCCACATACTGATCCACGACTTCATGATTGCCCTTTAAAGAATCTAATCCCCCAAACATAATCTTAGCATCTGACTTACTTGATAAAAAGCACTGTATTATACTGGGTACTGTTATTTTCTCACCCACAAGAACTAACATTACAACAATATGTAGCCACAAATGATCGGTATATCATGAAACTCCAAGTGTATCTTTCACTTCAGCAGTCACCACATCATCATATCGCAACTCCAATTTATAATGAGTATCACAAAAGATATCTCTTCAAAACAAAATCTCTCTGTCAACAAATAATTTTCCAAAATTCTGAAAGACAACATGCAAGAAATTGATAGCATTCCTTATGGAGATCATGCTTTCACTTCTTTAGCATTTCAGCTACCTTCTTTAGCATTTCACCTCATCAGGTACAACAAGTAATCAATCTTATGCAACAATAATACTGAGCAACATGTGAGACGAATGCATAATATTGATTAGACTGCAATTCTAAGCCTAACATTCTACATACTTCTGCTGTCTCGTAGCTGACTTATCCAACACACCAGCATTTAAGCAGAATATTGTTCTTATGCAGATATGGATTCTTATCTAAATGTACACTGACAAAAGCAGAACTATTCAAAACCAAAGAAAACCTCACCATCCAATCAACTCTATTCCAATGTAGAAAGTAACGACTAAATCAAAGGCAGCCATTCAACCTTCAAATTTGTTAGCTATAACAGGCAGATCAACTGGTGGGATACAGTATCTCATCATCAAGAGAGAAACCATTATCTGAGCAGCAATTGTCTATGATCCCAATGCTCCAGATTTGAAATTTTTGAGCTCAGCAGCACTTAAAGTACTCACAGGACCTGTAATTATGCAGAACCTGTTGGTGGTGTATAGTCATACCCACATGGTTTGGATAGCAGATAAGACTTAAATGTATGTTACAAGAGTGCTGACATCAACCAGACACACAACACTGTCCAAACAACTGAGCTCTAGGTTGCACTGAGAAAGTCCCCTAAACTGCCAAAGATGCGGCAAGATTGGATTGCTCAACCGAAGCAAATATAAGACTTCTTGAACTCACATAACAAATCACTGATCTACTGAGAACCACACAATCACAGCCCATGAAAAGGTCCTATCTATACTTTGAAAGGAACAATATATTAGTTAAAGGGGAATTCTGATTTCCATGAAAACACAGGGTACACTACTTTCTTCCACAGAAACTGCATTACATACGATGTATCTGAACCTTTCCATATTTCAGGACCCCTAGAAATGCCACCTTACCAAATGCGTTGTAAGTTCATAAGATGGCACGTCCATTGCCCCTGCCTCTACAACTAAAGAAACAAGGGAAGCAGTGTTCATAACATAACAATATATCAAGAGACAAAAAAAAATTGAAAAGGCATCATGTGAAGTGCCCTTTAATACCTTTGCTCTAATTCCATGCAATTAGAAGCAAATGTATATCAGAGTTCAGAAAATAATTGATCTAGAGCCAGAAGCAAAAGAAGGAATGTCCAGGATAAGAAGTTTCTCATACATCCCACTAGTAATCATCATCTCACATAATAGATTTACTACTAGAATAGGAAGGAGTCAATAGACAGACAAGACACGGTTTCTTTCACTTGGACAGGAAAAAATTATCTTTACCCAAAAGAATTATGTATTGCTTCAATGTAACAAGTATCATATCCTTCTCAGTTCATTAGCCACGCAATCAAGGCAATATATCCATGATCCGTGCATAAACAGGTATAGCAAAGCATGCTATGATATTAACTTTGACAAGTTGCTTGCCTCAGCCCAGTTTTACAGCCAAATACCCATTCAAAATTATAATGATTTACTAATGAATCTTTAGCACAGCACAGGCAAGAAGTCTCTCTGCCGAATAGTAGACAAGTCAGACTGATATTTGCTTAGCTACCTTCCTTGCCCCAAATTCTACATATCCAAGCCACACTAATCACTAGCTTGAGCTCTATTATTTTTCAGAAAATTGAAAATGAGCTTCAGCGCAGAAGAAATCACTCTGGTAAAAGATCTCTTAAAAAATCCATCTACAGCATCTCAAAGATCACAAGATTCACAATTAGCATTCCATAAAGAAGACAAAGAAAACAAGTGGGGAAAAAATAGTGAAGAATCCTATCATCATAATAATAATAAAAAAATAAAAAAAACTTCAACAAGAAAACACACTTGAAAAAGTTAGTTCCCTAAGCAGTAGACTCAGCCAAAAACAGGACTCCTGATCGCCTATCGTCAACTACGGGTGGACGGAACTAGATCTCTTGATAATAGTATCATGCTATTATAACTGAATGGAAATCATTCCAAAACTATGAAAAATATTATTATTATTATTATAAAAAACAGCCAGATTCAATCAAACCTTCAAAGAGGAAATATTCTCGTTCACTTTTAATTCTGATAAAAAAAAAAACAGCCTGCAAATCTGATATTATACTACCCAGAAAAAAAAATTCCCATTTCACAGTTACTAATTACAAAAGTTACAACAGCAATTAATTTTTATTTTTTAAAAAAAAAAAAAAAGAAGAATTGCGGTACATTCATCTGGGGAAAGAGATAAGCAATGAGAAAATTTAGAAAAAAATAGGTTGGAAGAGAAAGGGGGTACCTGACATTCGAGAATTTTGCCGTAACGGTCAAAGGCATGCTCGAGCTGACGCTCCGTAACGTCCCAAGACAACCCTCCAACAAATATTCGATTCTCTTCCTTCCCAGCCATCACTCCCAATCTCGCAAATTCCCTAAATTCAAATGACCACAATTTAAAAATCAAAATCGGTTTGGATAAAAAAATAAATCAATGAATCAAAAATAGGGGGGAAAAAACTTCTGGAAGTTGAATATTAAGATACTTACAAACAGTAATTGTGCAAGTTAATGGGAGATTTTTTTTTTTTTTAGGGTTTTGAAGGAAACCCTCGAAGTTAAAAGGTTCGTGGTGGAGTTTGAAACTTCCCTAGCCAACGCTTCTATCTGTACCTTCTTAGCCTATGCAAAATAAATACCCTTATATTTTAGTACATAAATACCCTTACATATATTATTTTTTACCCTTATATTTTAGTACATAAATACCCTTACATATATTATTTTTTACCCTTATATTTTAACTCGGAGGAAATAGTAAAAAATAAATAAATAAATAAATATTTCTTTCTGTCCTCAACCAATTTTATAATGTCCGCTTTAATCTCTAACAAACAAAAAGGTTATTCGTGGTTCCTAAAAAATTCAAAGTGGACCTATTTTAGTCCTTTTAACAGACTAATGTCGGTCTTTTTTGAATTTGTGAAAGACCACGATTTCAACTAAATGGATCCATTTTGAATTGCTTAGAACCATAAATAGTCTTTTTATTTGCTAGGGACTAAAACGGATATCTTAAAATTTGCTTGAGGACCAAAAAAAATATTGGGATAGGATATTGTGACACACAAATAATGTTACGCACAATGTTACGATCACATCTTAACCATTGACTTCCGTCAATCATCGGTTATCATTTATTGCGAATTAATAATTAATTAATGAGTTTGATTTGAAAAATGATAACTGTTGATTGGGGGAAATCAACGGTTAAGATGTGGTCGTAACATTATGCGTAACATTATTTGTGTGTCACAATATGCTATCCCAAAAATATTTACTCAAAAAAAAAATTTAGTCTGAAATAATCTTACTAAAATTAGCGGCAAAAAATGTAGCGCCTTTTTAGTCGGACACAAATTAGTACATTATTATGTGATTAACATCTTTTTTTTTTTAGAATAATGATGAAAATAATATAAGTCACGTATTTCGTTTAAGATTTTTTTATTATTATTTTTTTTTTAAACTTGAAGACATGCATGTGTTCTTTTTTTTTTTAAATAATCGGATATGCAGTGGCGAATTTGAGCCCAGGCCAAAAAATTTTACGTGTATTTATTTTTCTTAACTTTAGTTAGTTCATGTCATAATATATTTAAATTGGGGAAGAATTCGTTTATAAATTTTTTTTGCAAATTATACTATATACTCCCGGAAGTACATAGTGTTACCTAGTGTATTTCCGGGAGTACATAATGTAGTTTGTAAGAGTTTATAAACAAAAAGTTTGTAAATATAATCATCCCTATTTAAATTATATTAAATATTGAGTACCTGAGCAGGCAGTACCAAGAAGAATTATAAATTTATTAAATATTTTTTTATACAAATAGAAATTGAACACATAATCTAATACAACTTACCCAAATCATTTACCAAAAATATTAAATTTTAGATAGGGCCAGAATACAAATTGTAGCTCAGGCCCAATTATAATTTTAACCCGGATCAAATTATAATTAATTATATAATTATGTGTAATAAGTATAATTTGTTAAAATTTAGTCCGGACTGAGATCACACCAAGAATATACCCGGCTCCGCCACTGCGGATATGTAAACTGTACTAGCTGCAAGGTAATTTAAGTAAAAAAGGTTGTTTGTGATTTTATTTTATTTTTGGTATAACTTGGAGGGTATTCTCATTCAACCTCCTTCGGTCACCTTGTCTTCGGAGTACGACGCGTAGGCTAGCCCCTCATTGGAACAACGGGTGCATTGAGCTTCGCTACCGGAGGAAGGAGGAGAGAGGCACATCCACTGGTCCCCAATGATTTTTGAAGAATTTGCTTGAGACAGGGTTGAACTCCTGACTCAAGCAAATCCTTAGAAGCTCAATTGCTAACTGAGCTACCCTTGTTTATGATTTTTATGAAGCGAAAATTTAATGGACATTAAATTTTATTACTTTAATTAAAAAATCGATTAACTCCGTTGTTAATAGAAATAATGATAAATTAGATGGCTCCATTATTATTAATAATGATAAATTTAATAATTTCATTTTTAATGAAAATAATAGTAAATCGATTGACTCCGTAATTAATAAAAATAACGATAAAATTGATTGGTTAGAATAGTGTTTCTTGATTTGTGCTAAGATGCAATTATGGTAAATCCTTTAAAATGAGTAACAAGAAATTGTGCTTGTATGCTTGACTGAACTATTTGAGAGATTAATAAAGAAGAAAATCCTATACTTCATAATCTCTCCCATCACAAGTGGAAGAAATCCGCGAGACAGATTACTCAATTCGATTCTTGAAGGAGCTCAATGACTAGTTTTCACATGTGAGGTCGCAAATAATGTTGATGGATCCCCTACCACCGATGTATCATGTCTTCTCTTAGGTGACTCAACAAGAAATATAATTACACTTGGAAGGCAATTTCTCTACTACTAATGAAATAACAAAGATTTTCTTTAACTATACAAAACAGTCTTCAAGAGAAGGAAGCTCCAATAATCATGTAAGAGGATTAGGATTATAACAAATGGATCCACGAGCAAGAAAATGCGTGCATCTTGGCCACAAAGATGGAGTGAAGGGTTATGTTCTCTATGACTTAACATCTAAGCATATATTCCTATCAAGGATCATTGTTTTCTATGAACAATGGTTTCTTTTTTCTGGAAGCCAGTCACTGCCACATGAACCTTGGCCAGTTGGAGATCATTCAGATATTTCATATGAGATTCCCTCTCAAAACCAAAGTGGATTCCAAAGCTTAGACACTGCCATAACTGATCCAACTTAGAATGCACTCCAACACCCAGACACTGCCACAACTAACTCATCAAATCATCATCAACATCTAGGCGCATTAATACCTAATTGTCCTTATTAACCAAAGGTGCTCAAATAGAATAAAAGCATGACCCATATAATTGCAAGATTACCATTGTAATCTTTCATCCACTACAGAATCAGTGAAATGCTTTTATCTTCTTTCTTCTGTGATTTCTCATAACAAATGCTCCCCTAGTTATTCTTCATTTTGCCGCAATATTAGTTCCTCTATGGATTCTCCATCTTTGTAGCCAAGATGCACGCATTTTCTTGCTCGTGGATCAAACTTCGAACGTCCAGCAACAATTGTGGAAGCATATGCAAGGCATCCAAAAGCTTCTAAGTGAATGAGGATAGGTGGCTTTTTGTATAGGCGATTGATGAGATAGATTGCATTCACTATGCACTAGCACCACAGTCCTTGAGGGAGTTTGTTTGAAAGAAAATGGCCCTTGCCACGTTAAATATATGTTGGTGCTTCCCCTCCACGACACCATTATACTCAAGAGACTCAATGCATGACGTCTGATGAAGGATCCTTTTAGCTGTGAAGAATTCATTCATCAAGAACTCTGGTTTGTTGTCACTGCAAAATTCTTTAATAGTAACACCAAATTGGTTTTTTATAAAAGTGATAAAAGCACGAATATAGCCTCTTACTTCGGGTTTGATTTCGTAAGAATCCTCCAAGTAAATCGGGTATGATCATCAACTATTGTCAACATATAGCGATGCCTATGAACTGAATGCATAGAATATGGTCCCCGTATATCAAATATGAAAGAGATCACAGGGTGAGTGAGAAGTAGAAGAACTGTGATTAAAGGGCAATTTTCTCTGCCTTGCTAATTGACATATGTAGCTTGGATTATCTATGTCTTTACACTTTATAAAAAGGTGTTAAAGCATCATAGCTTTTATTATAGGTTTCGAGCAATGACCCAACCTTACATGTCATACCTCAGAATTACAAGATTGTGTTACAAAACCATTATTAGAGATCTGAGCTACTATTTTTGCATAAATCTCCTCTCCTTTATTCGTTAGTGAATCTTCCAAGTTACACAATTGCACAAGAGTGTCTAAGCCTCCTTTGAGTCTAGCAGAACCAATCATTTCCATGGAATCCCTCAGTCGAATAGAACATGTTTGATGCTGAAATATCACATCACAAGTAAAATCATGCACAAGTCTATTCACTAATATGAGATTAACCATGAAATCTTTTACATGTAGTACATTCATCAGTTTTAAAGATTGTGAAAGTTTTAACCATTCCAGAATAGTAGGAGTACACCTTACTTCCATTAGGCAGAGAAATGTCTATAGGATCAATCTTTTGAACAGAAAATAAGCTTGTAAAAGAATGAGTGATATAGTCAGTTGCTTCCATATCTAAGATCCATTGGATAGCTGAGTTACCTGATGAAGATTCAGGTGTTTCAGTCTTCACATTAAGCGCACTTGTTTGAACTAAGTTGCTCACATGTGGAGTGGGATTTTGCTGCTGCATTTTCTTTTGAATCATCTCCAAAATAGCTTGGTATTGATTCTCAATAAAGTTGTTTGTTGATCCATTTTCACGATCAGTTGCATCACCCAAATCAGCTTGTTGTTGAAATGCTACATTTGCCTTATGAGCCTGATTTCTTTACTTATATCTAGAGGGATAGTCATGCTTCTCAAAATAGGTTTCAATTGTGTGACTAGTTTTGCCATAATTTGTGCACAGCCTCGAATTCCCTAATCTGCCTCATCCACCAATAAATCCACGTCCTCTTCCACGAGTATTGGAATGTCCTCCTCTTGAAGAATATTCTGCAAAGTTAAAAAAAAAACCTTTGTTTTCTCATTAGTAGTAGAGAAATTACCTTCCAAGTGTAACTGTCTTTCTTGTTGGGTCACTAAGGAGAAAGTAATAACATGGGTCTATTTTGAATTTCAGATGGACCACAAGTCGATTTTTTTTCTAAAGGATCCCGTTATATTTGTTGAGAACCCAAAAGATACTTTACTCTAATTTTTAATATAACTAAGCTTGTCTGGGTTTATTTTCTACTTAAGAAGAATTCATGTGGTT